TTTCTGATGAAGGGTCTAGGCCCGAAACGTCAGCCTTCCTGCTCCTATGATGCTGCTTGGCCTGCTGTGTTCATCCAGCCCTGCACCTTGTTGTCTCGGGTTCTCCAGCATCTGCAGTTCCTACTATCTCTGATTAAAGATTGACCTGTGTTCTGCTCATTCATCAAGTGGCTGTTAGACATTTAACAAGCTGCGAGGATCCAGTTTCTAACCTGCAATAAACGTAATCCCAGAGAGAATCCCATCATTAAACTATTACACATATAACGCACACCAGTGAGACTTCGGTCATAAAACTTGAGTAAATATAACACTCATCAGTCAGATTCTTGTCACTAGAGAGCAGTAATATTACAATTACCAACCCAGTATCTAAACTACAGGAAAGAATCTTGTACCAATGAGACTCATGTCACTAAACGAGTGTAAAAATAACACAAATCACTGATGATTCAGCCTTTGAATGGAATTGATAAATAATACCAAATGTAAAACTCTCTGGTGCAGATGATGTCACTAATGTAAACATAATACACCAGTCGGGGTCTAACCAGTAAATTATTAGAAAAACAACAATGATGAATGGTTTCAATCACTAAAACCACTCTAGTTATACTAGTTGAGGATCTAGTGACTGAACCACAGTAAATATCAACATCTCAAAGACAGATTATCTGTTTGTTATTAAATTAGCAGTGTAAGAGTTTGTTCATTGCAAATTAGCTGCCATGTTTCTTTCATTATAATAATGACCACACTTGGAAAAATGACTTAGTTGATTGTACAGCACTTTGAGTCATCAGGAAGTTGTGAAAACCACTACATAAATGCAAGTCTAATGCTTTTTTTTCCCAATATAGTGGTCACACATGATGACCTAATATCAAATCACCACGAGAACCCGATCATTAAACAAGTGTAAATATAAAGCATAATAGTGAGGACTTTGTGAATTAACTATAACAAATGTAAGCAGCAAGTCACTAAACCACCGACAATATAAACCTGAATGATGAGGATCCAGTTGCTGAACTACAGCAAATATAACATGTGCCGGTGAAATTCTGTTCCAAAACTGCAGTAAATATATCAGTGACAATCTAGTCAGTAAACAGCAGTGTATATACTAATATACACCAATAAGAAAATAATAATGGTAAATACACAATAGTCACTAAACTACTGTAATTATAACACTCATAATAGAGGATATAGTTACAAACTATAAAAAAAATCAATGAGCATTCAATTAGGGAAAATTCTTTGCTGGTTGGAGACATACTTAGCACATAGGAAGATGGTCATGGTTGTTGGAGGTCAGTCATCTCAGCTCCAGGATATCTCTTTGGGAGTTCCTCAGGGTAGTGTCCTCAGCCCAACCATCTTCAGCTGCTTTATCAATGATCTTCCCTCCATCAC